AAAGCAATTTGCTCTATGTAAGTAATTTGAGCATGAATATCTTCATGCCAAAAATAGCACAAGTAATTAGTGGTGACAAGTGTTGTTCGCTCAAATAAAAAAAAAAGTGAGGCAGTTATCTTTAGAACAATCGAGTAAGTCCAAGCATCTGGGAGTCGAAAAAACAGCACCAGTTTGTCTTTGTTATATAAACTCAATCTTTCCCCACCCCATTAATAAACAACCCAGATGTAACGGTTAACAAGCTAGTATGGCGGATGTTTTCTTTGAATAGTGAGTTCAAACCTTACTGAGTGACTATACTTCTGTCTTCGTGCCAAAAATAAATTCCGTTTTATAAATAACTTAGCTTTTAGCAGATATAGAAAGGAAACTGCAGGAACTCCTACAGATGGTAGCAAAAGAAAGCGAGAAGAAAGGACTAAGCATCAATTGTAAAAGGACAGAATTTACAGTTGTCAGCAAGAACAACAGACCAGGATGCGAACTACGAATTGGAAATATCAAAATCCATCAAGATAAAAAAATATCTGGGATATATTTTAACAGAGGATGTGACGCCAAAATCCGAAGGGGCATTGAATTAGCGAAAGATACCTTCCATATTTTGGGCAAAGTTTGAAGAAACGGGAAATATTCCTTAGAAACAAATAAAAGATTTCTAAACTGTTATGTAATTGCAATCTTCATTATCTGTCTATATTTCTGAGATGAGGTATTATGATTACTTACATTATTTACATTATTCGGACTGTTATCCTCATCTTCATTGCCATATTTAAAACGTTTCGGCCGTTGTACGCTCTGGCCTTCTTCAGGCGATTGGAATCTCGGAATTTATTTCGTCCACTGGGGTAGACTGTTCTAGTTCCACGTGTCATGCCTCTTGGAGAGTTGAGTTAAAGGGAAATAACTGAGAACTCCGGAAGAAGCATAGCACGTGGAACTAGAATAGTCTACCAAATTGGGCGAAATAATGTATTCGGTTCGAAATTCCAATCACCTGAAGAAGACTAGAGCGTAGAAGGGTTGAAACGTTGTGAATATGGCAATGATGATGGGGATAACAGTCTGAATAATGTAAATAATGTAAGCAATCTTCCTTTATGGCAGTTGAAAAATAAACTTGCAGTGACAAAAATGTGGTTCTACAGAAGGATGTTGATAATGCCATGGAGTGAACATGAGAGTACCGGCAATGTTTTAAGGGGAGAAAAAAAAGACACATACTTAGAATCAGAAAGAGAAAATTTCCAGGTCATATATTGAGGAAAGACGGCTTGGAGAATCTGACACTCACAGGACATATTGAAGGTAAGAGGGACAGATGAAATCGACGATTAACCTACCTAACGTCTGTAAATGGGTGACAGAACAGGAATTGGGTGTTGTTGCGAAAATGCAAACCATACAAGTGCTACAATAAATAGGATGATGTGGAGAGCCATGATCGACGATGTCCTGAAGAAAAACGTTACAGAGAAAAGGAGTTTTTCGTGGTGGCGTGGAGTATTTAAATATGACTCCTAAGTCGCGTTGGTAATTTTTTTTTTAGATTGTAATGTCTGAATAGGGGGTTCGATCCCTGCTTGGTTCCCTTGGTTTCTTTGGATATGAGGTTAAACAAAGTAATCTCTATCGGCAGTTTTCATGTAGTTTGCGGCCATTTTCTACTGACCAGAGTGAGAACCTATAGCTGGCTGCCACGAATAGGCAGGAAGATTCTATTGGCCGTCGTGAGAGCCAACAGCTGACTGACACGAATGTTAACTAGCATGCTAGCATGCAAAAAAAAATCGATAGCTGCATTCGTCACAAGTGGGAAGAATTTAAATCTGCATGGAACTTTACTCTAATTGGCTCATTCGCTTGCTTAAACTCAACGTTGATTCTGATTCCGCAGAACTGGGTTGGGTGTGAAAAAGTATTTGTTGTTAACATTCTTTTTTCATTCGGTTTTTCCAGTTACGAGTCCTTTTTTAAAGCTGATCGTTTTGTGTTCATTTTGTTTAGTTCTTTTTTCGTAACAGATTTAATGTTTAGTATAGAGCTTAGAAAAATTCGCAGTGTGAGATAGGCAAGAAATAAAGCATGTAGCAGAATCAGCACTGCAAAGTACACTCCTTTAAAGGCAAGAAAGGGCAAAAATATTTTAAGTCAAGTGATAGCGATTGTTGTATGAGTCGTACGATTTTTGAATCAAGCACGGGCAACGCCGGGTCATGCTGCTAGTTATCAATAAAACATCACAGACTTCATTTTGACTTTACTTTGGTCAGACAAAATGGGACGGACGAATATGTTTCGTAGTTGATTTCATTGCATCTTACGATGTTTTAAATAATCTTTTTTTTTTCAATTTTACGGAAATAAAAGAAAAAACATTATAGATGAAGCCTTAATAATAAAAGAAACATTTAAACGTTTTATTTACTCAACCCATGAAAAGATCGAAAAAGAATTCACGAATATCTACATGAAAGGAGTTCAAAACGATATAAGTAATTATGTTAAAGGGTATATAGGAACCTCGGCGTGGTATAATGGTTTGCAAGCTTCTCTTGCTAAAACAGTTACGAATAGGTAGTGAGTTCGATCCTCACTGGGTGGCCCATGATTTCAGCCTTGTGCCACATCTAAGCTGCGCTTGGAAAATCGCTATATTAAAGGACAGATTCTATGCTTATTTTAACATTGATTACATACTGTGGAATAATCGGCTCGGACAAATCAGAGGGCCGAGTTCGAATTTCAGTCTAGTTCATTATATTTACTTACATGCTAATACCCTATAGAAAGGTCTGAATGTAACTCTTCTTTCTCAGTTATGGACAGGACAGACATGGTTCTAAAGCCTTGCATGGCAACTGGTAGGAAAAACTATGAAGTCAAAACCTGTAAATAGTAGGACAGTTTGGTTTCTGTTGTGGATTCCGGGATGAAATCCGGTATCAATAAATAAAAAACGCTAAGAATGAATATAGGAAAATAATATATTAACGTAATAATACAAACTGGTAATGCAGGTTAGTAATTCCAGGAATACGGGTTAGTAGCAAAATATTGATACAGTCTTTGGTATTGAAGTATCGCTCTATGACTTCTTACTGAGTCTACGTGCTCGCTCACTGTGACTCTTGATCACTACGTTCGTTCTGTCTGTCTGCTAACTTCACCCTCTGCTGCTCTCGTCCCGGGTCTTCCCGTAGCAGTAGTATATGTATATACTGGGTGAGTCCATTTGTGTAAAAAGGGGAGGACTCCTCAACAGTTTCTGTAACCATGGTTGATAATCACACTCGAAGAACAACTCTGACTTCAAATCCGGGACCCGAGACCTTTTTTTTTTTTTTTTTTTACTGGGCACTCTGTACTTTCACCTCTTCTTATCGAGAAGTATGCACGCAGACATATCACTCTTTTTCGTTTGTTCTTCCAGATTTATTTGAAAGTAAATTCTCCAGGAAATAGCTAAGAACTAGTAACCTCGTGAATCCGAGAGTAGCCAATTAGTCGTTTTAGCTCGAATCATGAAGGCTTGGTATCGTTGGAGCATGTGCTGCTCTTAGGAACCCTCTTGTGTTTTATAGAACGCGAGACCTGACGTCGTGACGTTGATTTTGACTATTGTATATTTTATCAAATAAACCGATTTCATAAAGTAATGCAGTCCTCGACCGACATTCGCAAGAGTTTTAAATTGACCCGACCGTTTCAATACAAATGAAAAATAAAATAAATAAATCTCTTTTCGGAAGAAACAAGAAGACTCATTTCTTTCTTGCATTTGTACCGGCTAAATAAATAGATTCAAAGTTGAACGTGAGCCAAGATCTGTTGTTTTTCATTAGTGGAATGATTGTCTTAATTAAGTCGAAGCTCATTAGATTTTTACTTCCTTTCCGCCCGTCTTCATGAATGTATCGCTTTGATAACATTAGTTCCAGATCGATCGACATTGGCTTTTTATTGGAATTATAAACTCAGAAGGGTATTTTTCTTTCATCCTATGAAGCAACAGCGGTTACTATCTTTACATAGTATATGTATCACTTTCAGCACACACAACGCAGTCTGATAAAAAAAAAGTATCGAGACTGGTGCTATAAAAAAAACTACAGCACATATCAATTCGGCATTTAATCACCTTCGAAGTAGTCCCCTTCTGGATCCATACACTTTATCCAGCCTCGTTTTCATTGATGGAAGCATCCCTAGAACACCGTTTTGGAGATAAAGAGCAGATATTTCGTTACATTCTCTTGGATTGTTCAACGTTTTAAAATCTTGTTCCTTTCAAGTGGGATTGAGTTTTCAAGAGGGAAAAGTAGCAAAAAGGCGAGATCTGGGGAATATGGCCGTTGTTGGACCTGAAGAATGTTGTTCTTAGCAAAAAAATAGCTACAAAAGCCACGGTCATTGATGAAAGCTTGGTGGTGCGGACGACCACACTCTACACACTTTCCTCCCAAGAAACAATGGAAGTGAGCGAGTACGTTATAACTTTACTTACTCTGCGTAAATTAACTCCGTTACCAGTCTAGCAACAGTCTCAATACTTTTTTGATCAGATTCGTTCATGCAAACTGAAATGCACACATACGTAAGGACATCAACAAATCCATAACTGTCATACCTGACCGTACCTATTCTATTATTAATAGACTCTCCCACACATAATAAGTAGTAGTAGTAGTAGCGGTCGCCAGTTGAGCTCAGTCGTTTTGAGTGAGTCAGTCGATGTTGGACATTGAAGTATCAACCATCACAACTAGATTGCTGCGTCATTAACTCTTATTTCAAGTTCCTAAAGTTTTGTACGTCGGACCCTTTTTAGGACCATCTTAGCGAAATACAAGCCTCCACTGTGAAAACTACTCTACAACAATAACCTAATGTTAAAAAACGCGTTTAATTTGCGAAATTTAAAAAAGAAATCATCCCCCTTTTTTATCAATTCATTGGTGAACATTATTCATATCAATCGTGTAATATAGGCTTACGGTGACATCACGTTGAAAGACTGATTCTCGTACGATCACCGAAGTTAAGCAACGTCGAGCCTGGTCAGCACCTTGCTGGATGACCATTTGGGAATACCAAGTGCTGTAAGCTTGAATGTGCAGGTGGTGTAATGGGTAATGGCTACGAATTGTTAATCGAAGAGCCAAGTTCCAATTCCAGTCGGGTTCGTTGGATTCAGGTGCGCAAATACTCTTGAGAAAGGTATGAATCCACCTCTTCTCCCCCGGCTATGGGTTGATTAGTAAGACTTGCATCACTAAATCATTATTATCAGAAATAAATTGTTACAATCTAAAAATCTTTTCTGACTCTAAATAACCTGCAAAGTGTCGATAAACCGTAAAAAAGAATCAGTCACTGAATTAATCGAATATTATAATGTAAATCTGTTAGATCAAAATTCGGCTTTAAGCAACGATCTTATAAAGATCCAATCTTATTTATACATTCATATGTATCTCGTATAGATAAATACATACAGCATGTAATATCGCGCGATGTTTAATAATGGTTAGCAAGACATGCTAGCAGACTTTTAGTATAGTAATGAATTCGATCCTCATTGGGGCCTTTCTATTGAATGACTCATGAGAGTTTAAACTAAATTCAGTAAATTGACATAAGAAACATTCTTATAATTTTTGTCTCATAATTCGTATATGGTGTCAAATCTTTTGACAGCATTATCTTTGTGAGCAGGTAATGCTTCTACTACTATAAATACTAATATTACTACTAATAATAACTAGTAGGACCTGTGAAAATTTTACGGTTTTTCTATATTCTGATGAAACATATGACTGAATAAACTCTTTGCCACTTCTACAACTGTAAAATACCCATAGAAATCTCTGTATTGTATTGTTAAATATTTAATATTAAAAACTTTAACCAAATTTCGCAATAGCAATCCTAAGTACAAATGCAAATTCGAAGTCAGAAGTAAGAGTGCAAAAATGAAAAGATTTAAAATCGACATTGTATTCCAAACACAGGAGTGGTCATTGCACTTTCGTATGTAAGTATGCGTGTAGGTTTGTTTGTTTGTCTGTTTCTTTCTTTCTTTCTTTCTTTCTTTCTTTCTTTCTTTCTTTCAATAAAAAACAACCAGCCTCTCTGATATAATTGTTTCTTCATTCTCCCCCCCCCAATCAAAGCAGAAGAGTCCATTATTTATCCGAGGTAACGGCAGGTTTTAATATATATGCAAAATAACTAAGGAACAATCAAGATTATAAGAATATAATAATAACTTATAAAAACACTGATGAAACTACTGACTATCCAATACCTGGCCATTCCTCCCTACCCGCAAATAAATTTAAATCCAAATCGGATATGGTAGGGAAGATATAACAAGATTATATCCTTCCACGTGCAGAAAAACTCTGTGAACAGAAACCACAAACAGTAATAGAAATTACAGTGCTGCGGGACTTCACCATAATTATCGACTAAACTAAAAAAACGGCAGAAAAGTGATAATAATATAATAATAATAATAATAATAATAATAATAATCCCGGACATTATTATCAAAGACAGAAAAGGCGTTAGAAAAAATAATAATCACAGGACCAGTGCTTGTTAACTAGAAATTATCAAGTCCACATATATATAATAATAGAATATATAATGTAGATTCTGCGATAAATATCCAGAAACAATTGGCCATCTTGTATCCGGTTGCAAAGTGTTAGGACCCACTGAATATAAAACTCGGCATGATAGACTGGGCCAATATCTGCACTGGAAAATATGGAACGTTTACGGGAAGGAAACTGCAAGAAATTGGTATGAACATCACTCAGAGTCGGTTACAGAGATAGGACCTGTAATTTTATGGGACTTTGCAATAAACACAGACAGAACAATTAAAGTTAATCGCCTAAACATCGTGATCAAAGCCCACGAAAAACAGAATGTGATTTCTTAATGGCATGACAGTTCCTGGCAAATTGTAATGTATATTTGAAGATATTCAAAATTCTATCAAAATACAAGAATCTTGAAAATCTTTAAAAATTCCAATTGTAGTTGGAGCCTTTGGATTGATTGGGAAAGCTTCCGATAGACCCATTGAAGGGATTCCTGGTAGCCCATGCCTTACAGAAATGCAAAAGATTTTACTCACACATTACGAAGTGCTGTGTTTATGTAAAATTTGTGTAATCTCATTTTTTTTTTAAATTTTTTTTTTATTTTTAATTTTTTTTTTTTTTTACAAAATTGATCAGTGGAAAATCTCATGAAGCCATTTCTGACATTCCGTTTCTGGTCGGGACCCGGAAGGAAATGTATATACAACACAAATCAAAGGAAATAATAATAATAATAATAATAATAATAATAATAATAATAATAATGACGGATATATAAATCTTGACCATATATGGGGATTAAACACGGCAGGCAACAAAATTCCTTCGCACAGGTATGTCAGTGTCATCAGATAAGAATATATCTGCTAAAGGACGTGATATAATAAATAAATATAAGAAACACGTGGGTCCTTAAGATTACAGTTGTATCAGTAGGAAGCTCTGGATACGATAAAAAAAGCGTACAAGCAAGAATATTAAAAAAAACAAAAAAAACATTGACATCTCTTGCATACACGAATTTTTTTTTAATTGCAGTGCGTGGAACTGAAATTCTACTCAGGAGAGTATTATCAGTGTAACGAAAATATAAATACTGTATGTGATAAGTATCCCTGAAGATAGTCATTTGTGTTAATAGAATATGTATAGTCACTATCATCTTTTACCACAGGTTGCAGATAATGACCCGGTAAGAGATTATACTGAACAGCAATAAATAAATAAATAATAATAATTTTGGTTCCAATCTGCTAGAAAAGACTGTTAAGAACATAAATCTATGAACAAATCCTACAGATGCATTTTAGGACTTATTCTTAACTAATAAAAATGGATAATTCTCGTATCTTTCTTATTTCTACTCAGAACCCTATAAAGACTGGACTGTATACGTTTTGTGTATGAACACTATACTTACTCTGTGAACCTTTATCTACGCAAATCTAAGCTACAATGTAAGAGTATTGCTTGGTCTAGTTTTAACTTGCATTTATATTGTTTTCTTCTTATTATTTGGCCCTGGTCTTTTTCTTTCTCTTCTTATCGTTGATTGAGAACTTTGTTAATTACACTTGAGCATAACGAATTATTCCACAAATGAAGCTGCCAGAAAGAAGGACGTTCAGGGCACTATTATACCAATCATCACTGAGGCGTTGTGGTCTACACCAATGGACTTACGTACCGACATTAAGAAAATTGCAATAAATCCTAGAAATCGATCGCTTTAGAAGTCCGCGTTGCTTGGCTCTGCAAATATTCCGCGAAAGGTGATATCTGTTGGGGTCGTATGAAATGACGGAGAGCAACCATAATACAAGATCGGTTGAAAACGAAAATCCGCACGGAGAAAGAGAAGATAATAATAATAATAATAATAATAATAATAATAATAATAACAACAACAACAACAACAACAACTAGATGATACAACGAGTCAAACAGCACAAAAACAAAAAGAAAAAACATTAAATCATGAAAGAAGGTTGTTAGTACAAACGGGAGTGATATCTAGTAGATTTAGTAGAAAACCAAAACAGAACCTAAGAACCAACTGTTGCAGTAAAAATTATGAAAAAGAAAGGAAAGGATAAAGCTCTTGAACAGATGAAACAATACAGGTAAGACAAACCTCGGCACGGCCAATATCCGGAACGAGGCTAATAAAGCCGATGTTGATAAAGTTAACATTCATCGATGGTTACGAGCATCTGGATTAAAGGCTGAATCGGAAGGCATTATTCTTGCAGGATGGTTACGATCATCTGCATTAAGGGCTGAAACGGAAGGCTTTATTCTTTCACTAGAAACTTTCAGGCAAATATTATACATAATAGTGTAGATCCAAAATGCATGTTTTGTGACAAATATTAAGTAACCATATACCATCTAATCTCAGGATGTTCTGTACTTGCGCCAAATGAATATAAAAATCATCACGATAAAGTGGTTCAGTACTTACACTAGAAGATGGGCAAACACTTTGGAAATGGTGTTAATAAACACTAGTATGAACATCACCGAGCAACTGTTACAGTAATAGAAGACGTCACAATTCTTTGGGATTACACCATCTTTACAGACAGGAAGATTTAAGTAAATAGACCTCATATAATTGTCAAAAACCAAAAAGAAACACTTGCCTACTAATTGATATGGTTTGCTCATCGGACTGTAACAGCAACCAAGGAATTTGAAAAACTATCGAAGTATAAAGACCTGGAAATCGAAATAGAAAAAAGGTGGGAACGGAAAGCAAGAATAATACCAGTCATAATAGGTGCGCTTGGAATAGTAATAAAAGGAACACAATAACGCATTGATAAAATTACTGGAAACCCCAGCTTAAGAGTAATACAGAATATGTCTTGATAAGTACAGCCCATACACTAAGAAGAAATTTGACCATGTGACACTAATAATGTTATGGAAGTTAGAAAAACAAATCATAAAATGTAGCCATCACACACCCCTATGTACCTTAGGTCTTGGTAGGTAGTGTGACCATAGCAGAAATCAAAATGTAATAATAATAATAATAATGATGATAATAGCGAAAGATAGTATTGCCCGTGAGGAAATTCTCATATGACTAAAAGTGATAAATACGGATTACGAAATAGTTTTGTCCTTTTCAGGTTAACAAGTCAGCGATGGCCGGGTAAAATGGCTGGATGAACATGGCATGGATACAGTGCATGTATGGCATAAAATGGTTAACTTTTTTTTTTACAACAATGTCACAAGAGCCACTCGAGGTAGAGGGATACAGAGTAAGAGTTACAGTGAATATATGAGGAAGATAACCCTACACTAACAGGCATATTAGAATTGTAGTGATCACGAAAGCATTCTACAGAGTAGAGGTTTGTGTGGAGCTGTTTGAGTAGAACTTGCATCTCGCCAGTGGAACACGAAGGGAATGGGGGTGGTTTGCTACAATGGGCGTGGCATGACAGGTCTTAATTGTAAAGGTTCGAAATTG